GAGAGGAGCCCCCCCCCCCCTCCCCACATGTTTACGCTTTATTACAGACTGTGTGTGTGTGTGTTTGTTGGTGAGTGAGAGAGTTAGGCTAAGGTCAGAGTTCAGGTCTTGTTGCTCGAGTATTTTTTGCATCTTTGACAAATGTTTTGATTTGATTTTTTTCTGTTAATTTTTCGATCATTTTTTGCTTCTTAAACTTAAATTTTATTACTCAGAATAAGCAACGTGTATTGACAAGAATCTGGTGATACGATATGTATCACGATACGGGGCAATGATACGATATACTGTGATAATCTGTGATACTATAGTCCAGATGATATATTGAGTTTTTTTCCCCCCTAATGTAACTGTAGTCAAATTCCATGTTTTTTTTGTTTTTTTTTTGACTAAACTCAGATGAAAACATTCCGTGCAGCTTCATATTTGACCCCAACATTTGAACGATGTACAAGCAAAACAAAATTAATCTGATTTATGACGTGACCATGTCTGACTCTGTCCACCCTGGACCTATACTCACCCCCCCGCCCCCCCACCCTGGGAACCTCCTCACTGAATGCCCTCCGCTCCTCTCTGTCTGCAGGTTTTTCACGCCAATGTCGATGCCACCGAGGTGGTTCTCAACCGGATCCAGCAGCCGGTTCTGGCTCGCTTTGTCCGGATCAGACCTCAGACGTGGAAGAACGGCATCGCGCTGCGGTTTGAACTGTACGGCTGTCAGATCACTGGTAAGAAATGACGACACTGTTGTTGTTGTGTTTGAGTTTGAGTTCTTTCACCAGGTCAGGAGTCGGATTAGAGGGAAAGAAAAAAAAAACAAAAACATTTCTTTCCTCTGCTTTTTTTTTTTTTTTTTAACACACTCTGATGCTAAACAGGTCGGTCATTAATTCAACAGCCAAGGATTCACGGTGTGTTTTATCCAGTCCACTGCCTTCACACACATCAAAAACCCTCTCTCAAGTGCACTCACACCCCAACTCTTCTCCATATACAGATCCTCCCGCTCTGTGTCCCCCTCCCACACACACACACTCACTCACACACACACACACACAGACAGGCCCTAATAGAATAATAGTGGAGTGTTCCGTGTGGGTGATAACATCAGAGAGTAAAAGACTCTCAGCTTTCATCTGCAGCCCTGGAAAACAAACATGATTTCAACCGGCATAATCAGCTCAGAACTATAAATAGATAAAACTTCATTAGACTCCACTCTGTGTGTGTGTGTGTGTCCTGTGGTTGTCACTGAGGACCAGTGTTTGACAGAGGGGACATTTATCGTCCCGTGATTGTGAGGGTTTTATGGGTTAAAGACTGGGTTTGGAGGCTCAGGGCTGAGTGTGTGGTTGAGGACGGTGTGGGGGACATTTACCTTGAGTTGGGGGGGGGGGTGATATTTTTCGGGTTGCAAACTAAGGCCCGGGGGCCGGATGTGGCCCGTTCATGTTTTTAATCCGGCCCACCAAACTTTATTTATATTATCATTTTACTTCTGCCTTTTCCCTGCAATACCCATGTTTCCCCACTAGATGACTTAGAAAATGATAAAAGCATTTTAGCCTTTATGCATGACATTTACATGTCCGGCCCCTCTGTCAAATGTTTGAACATTTTTGTCCCGAGAGTCGAAAAGTTTGTCCACGTCTGGGTTAGAGTTAGATTAAGATTTGGGATTAGGCATACAGAATATTACTAACTGATGATGTCAGGGTGGGGGGGGGTTACGTCTATGTGAAGTTCTTACAAAACTCAAAACCCAGTGTGTGTGTGTGTTCGTGTGAGTGTGTGTCATTATTAGGTTAGGGCCACTCTTCGCTGCCATCACCGTGGCGACAGAGGAGGACAGATCTGCTCTTATCTACGAGGCCTATTTCAACACCCACACAAATCACAATCACACCATCATAATATGACGTTGTGTGTGTGTGTGTGTGGATTAGAGACAGAGAAGGGGAGAGAGAGAGAAACACAGATATATTTGCTGCTGTTTCGTGCTGTGTCTTAATGACATATATTTAGTTTTATATTTCCTACTTCTCTTCTATTGAACACTGCTCTGGTTATTTATATTCCTCTCCACATATTGCCCATCGCTGCCTCCCTGCAGAGTCAGGAATCCAACAAATCAGGTTTTATGCCAGCTCATCTCCTCGCCACTTTGGCCTGAGTTGAAAGGACGAATCATTTTTTTTCAACCTGGGAGAAGAAGAAGAAGAAGAAAGAAAAAAAAAAAGTGTTTTTGTCGCACTCGTTCTTCATAATGTCTATGGAAAAAAAAGAAAAAAAAACTTTATCACAAAACAACACCCGCTACCAGCCACGCAGCATCTTTCTTCCTGCTTGTCTCGGAGCCATAGACATATTGACAAACACACACACCAACACACAGCCGGCGGGGATGTGAACCGCCGTACACAGACCTATAAAGGCGGACATAAAGAAGTCAGTCGCTGACACGTCATTAACTTAAATCACATTTTTATTTCTCCCTCTGTACTTTCTCCCCTTTTCTCCCACCTCTCCCTCTCCACCGCCGGGGCTTTTTTCTTGCGTCTTATTTCACTTTTTTCTCGGTCATGCCATTGCTTCTGCTGACAGCTCCCATTCCTACTTCATTTTCTCCTCTCTCCCCCCTCTCCTCTAAATCATCCTCTCCTCTGCCTTATCCGACTCCACTGTCCTCCGTCCCCGACTTTTATTCTGTCTTAATCTCATCCTCATTCTGGGCCACCGACATTTACAGTCACTTATCTCAGCATCAGTTTGTGGTTTTCTTTTTACATTTTTTTTTTTTACAGTGTGTCGAACTATAAAAAGTTGAAACCTGGAACAACAGATCAGAGAAACAAACATCACCAGGTCTGTTCTTCAAGACTGGTGTGAAAACTCTGGTGTCTGTACCAGGACTGTTGTGGCTAACGTTAGCAGTGGTGTTGCTAACGTTAGCGTCTGTGTTGTATCAGGACTACTGTAACTATAGTTAGCAGTGGTGTAGCTAATATTAGCTCTGGTGTCAGAGACACTCAGGCTGTGCATCTGCTTCATGTCTGGCAAACTAACTTTAGTTGCAATGGTGCCACCCACTGGGCTGGAGTGTGTTCATAAAATGTTATATTATAAACAACAGGTCATTATAAACTCATGACAATAAATTTGTTTCATTAGAATATAGTGATTTTTGCTGTATATATAAATATAAATACATGTTGTCTGTGTACGTGCTTTAAGTCACTTCTGTCAAACGTGGCTATTCCTGTCGCTGTGAGCTCCAGAGATGACGTTCCCATCAACTCCCACAGCGTTACAGAAGCCATGGTTTGACTGTAGCTGCTGAATCACACACATACAAATATACCAGACATTATATAAACAGTATAATGGAGTTTATTTGTGGCTAATGACTTGTTGGTCAGTGATGGAGCTGGAGGCAGCTCCTCCGGCGCGGCTCTAGCCGTTGTTTATTGTTCATTCATTATTCACCGCGGTGCAGGCGCAGCTGCAGACGTCACAACATTAAACTTTCATCTCCACAAAGACCTGCAGAATGTCACCATCAATCACCGTCACCCTTGACTGTCGCTCTGCTCTTCTCCCTCTTTTCACTCACATCCCACTTCATCTTTCACACCCGTTTGATTCACCCACTCCCCCTCTCAGTCTGCGTTTCAGTCTGCTTGACCTTTTTGTCTTTTTCTTCACCTCCTCACTGGCCTTTTACTCCCCGCTCTACAGATCTCCAGTCCAGTGACGCTGGGACGTCGTGTGAAACCTCAATAAAAACAAGAATTCATTGATTTACCAGTTGTTTGTTACCAACTTTGTTATTCACTCGAATGCATCACAATATCAGATTTTTCATCACTTTGACCTCATTTTTAACATTTTCTTTTTGACTGAACTCAAACATCAAATCACGTTTTCATTTACAGACTGTATGTGAAAAATATCTGCATTAATATTTTACTGTTTTTTTATGAATTAAATATAACTAAATGTGAAGTCACATGAGTGACGTCTACGTTTGAAGGTTTTATAATTATTCAGAGCTCAGCATAAATTCTGACCTTTTTTTTTTCTTTTTTCTTTTTTTTCAGACGCTCCCTGCTCGAAACTGCAGGGCATGTTGTCAGGGTCACTTCCTGACTCCCAGATCTCTGCGTCCTCCATGAGGGACATCCACGGCTCCATGGGAGCAGCCCGACTGGTGGCCAGTCGTACGGGCTGGTACCCAAACCCAGCGCAGCCCATAGCTGGAGAAGAGTGGCTACAGGTTTGTTAGCTTAGCTTCAGTGGAGCTTGGTCAAATATAATAGAAGAAGAATTCACAAAAGGAAACCAACGATCGTTGAACAGATATTTCTGACTTTTCCAGAACATGATCAAATATTCAGTATAACAGAAGATTATGAGTTTTATATGAGACCAAAGTCCAACAACTGACGGTGTTTTTCTTCTCTCTTCTCATAGGTGGATCTTGGTGCGCCCAAGATGGTGCGGGGCATCATTACCCAGGGTGCACGAGGGCTGGAAGGCAGCACCACCGCTGAGAACAGAGCTTTTGTCCGAAAGTATAAATTGGCGCACAGCTTAACGGGAAAAGACTGGGTTTACATCACGGACACCAAGACTGAGTTTGCTAAGGTAAAGAACGGGAACGTGTACACACTCACACACGTACTGGTTCTGTGTAACCATTTCACGTAGATCTAACACATTCACCCTAAACTTGAACTATTAAATATATTTGCTCCTTAAATCTAATCAAAACTATAGATTGGATAGTGAGGATGTTAAAAATGTCCCCACAATGGACGTGTTGGTCAATGTCCCCACAAGTGTAGCTGTACCAGCACACACACTCACACACGTCAGGCTGACGTTCAGTTCCTTTTGATTTGGTTGTATTTATAGCTGTCTTTCAACCACTTGTCCGTCCGTGCTCCTCCCTCCACCGTCATCAGAAAAATGTTTAATTTTAGCTAAATCTCTAATAATAATTCACTGTAATCACCTCACGTATGGTACTTCCTGTCTGGGTCTTCACTGCCTTCTAGGTCCTCTGTAGTCTCCTCTCCTCGCTCCTCGTTTCTTTGTTTCTTTATCCTCTTGTTCACTCGCTCTCCATTTGGTCCTCATGGGTGTTAATTAAAAACGTCTTTCCTTCCTCTCCACTGAACACCGCCGCCAGTCTAACATACTGTGAGACAGCAGTGTTCCCCTTTCTAAGACTCAGACTTAAAACCCGCTAATAGCGCCACTGAGTGCCCGACTTCACTCCTGCTGCTAAAGTACGGTTCTTTCATATCCGTCATTTTGGGAAAAGGCGACTTGGGAAAGTCATCAGATGATTTAAAAAAAAAAAAAAAATACAGAAATATAGAACTATGGAAAGGCAGATGTCATAAGACAATTTTTCAAACCAACGGTGAGTCCAGAACCACAACAACAGTGACAGGATCTTCTATCAGTGGAAAAACCTCATCAGGGAAATTGGCAGAAAAATAATATCATTTCTCTGTTTTGAACATCAATTAAATCTCTGGTTAACGAGCCTTTGGCTTCATCTGTGCAGATCTTCGAGGGGAACAGTCATTATGACACTCCAGAGGTGAGAAGATTCGATGAAATAGTGGCTCAGTTCATCCGGGTCTTTCCAGAAAGGTGGTCACCGGCCGGCATCGGTATGAGGATGGAGGTCCTGGGCTGCGACCTGCCTGGTAAGAACATTTCACAAATATTTGATTCTGATTAGATTTAAGAAGTCTTCAGAGAAACTGTTATTGTTTTTACACCAGATCATAAAAACCAAATTCTCACACAAGATATAAACTTCCTAAAAGTGAGATCAGAAACCAGAGATTACTTTTGCAAAACTGAAACTATTATTAGCAACTGTTAAAGTTGATCATTCTAGAATGTGCTGTAGTGGAGAAGACTTACCAGGTGAATCTTATTGTACCCTATCATATAATCCTGTATTGGGGTTGTTCCGTATGGTATCACATTGTATGACTTGGTATCAAATTGTATATCGTACGGTATGGTATGGTATCGTATTGTATGGTATTGTATCACATTGTATGACTTGGTTTAAAATTGTATATCGTACGGTATGGTATGCTATCATATGATACCCTATAGATTGTACAGTACGGTATGGTATCGTGTTGTTTCATATCATATCGCATGTATTGTATGATATGACATTGCATCGTATCATATAACATGGTATTACATTGTACTGTATTGTACCCTGTGGTATAGTATAGTATGTTATGGTATGGTATGGTATGGTATGGTGTGGTATCCTGTCCTATTGTACTGTACCGTATCATTTTACATCTTATAGTTTCTCGACTATTGTCGACCCCCAGTGGCAGCAGGACTTAACGTTAACTAGGTTTGAAACCTTATTTTGATATCAGCTCGACTGCGCTGTTAAACTGACGGTTCAGTATTTGTACTCACACACCAACGTAATATCTTTTGTAAAACTTCTACATTAATACACACAAACTAATCCAGAAACAAAAAAACAAAAAAAACAGCAGTGACTCAGTGCTGAGTTAATCTGACTTTTAATCTGCTGACATCTGCTGTGAGTGACCGTCTGGTCGACTCTGACTTTTTCACGACGTGTTTTTCTCTTCCGTTGTGTGCAGCTAACAGTCGCTCTCGGGCTGGACGTACTTTTTTTAGTGCACACACTGTAAAGAATCTGGGTCTTTGAACCTATAGTACAAACAGTGTACAGTCAGATGCATTGTGTTGGTGAAGTGATGGGTGAAGTAATCACCTCGGCCTATAGGGGATTTAGTAACATGTCTGGACAGGGATTAGCGTGTCTAGGTCATAGGGCTTTCATTAATAGTGGCCAGCTGTGAAGTTCTCTTCACCGTCCATCAAACTGCATCTACGTTACCGTTCTATGGAAGTGTGGTGTGAACGTGTCGTGCTGTCGTCTGTCTGCGTTTCCATGATCAATCCGTGGGCTATCGTTGAGGACGAACCAACCGCAGTGCAGTATTTACCACCGAGGAATGCAGCAAATTATTCTCAGCTGCACAAATACTCCAGATATCAGCCAGAGCTCGGAGTAGACGTCTTATTTATTGTTTCTGTTAAGTAAAAGTGACATGTCAAATAAATTCACCAGCAGTGCAACGGTGGTGCAGTGGTGACAATGGGCGCCTAATTACAGTTGGAAATATTAATGACGAATGTTTCAATGTAAATGAACAATTAGAGCCGATGTATTTTCACTGTTAATCATCACTGTTGCTAATGTTAGGATTATAGGACGACGGAAAAGTTAGAAACAGTCCCAGGAAAAAGTAGTTCAGACCTTCAGATTCAGGAAAAGTTTGTTTTTACAGCAAGAAAACGTTTACGACCGATGACAATTACGATGTCGTCATTAATTTAGCATAAGAATTCTTTATTTGATGAACAAAAAAAACCCAATGTCAACACATACTATTAGCTATATATCGATAAATTAGCACTTCAGTTGATGGATCATGAATTGCATCGGCAAAAGTTACGACAAAAACGTTCATAAAAACAAATCAATTATTTAGAATTTATTTTCATAAAGGAAAATCAATTATTTAGAATTTAGTTTCATGTAAATTAAAAGTTTGTGTGAAATACACAAATACACAGAACATATTGTACTGCAGTATTATAGTGAAGCCACAGTGAAACTTCTGCAGTGTCAGTTGCATGAATTTAACCAAATATATTTCTCTAATAGAGATATACAGATATGGTATTACCCACAATGCCCGCTGCAGCCTTTCTAACTCCACTGGCTGTGTTTTCTGTCCATATCCTTTACTTTTATTGCACTTAATTAGATCAAGCACATGATAATGGTGGCCATCAGGATCACAGTGCAGCTCAAACTCCCACCTGCCTCAGCGCCAGTGATCGTCTGCTGCCCCGGTCGTCCTACGCCCGCATGGCAGATGTTTGCCCTCTGGCTGTAATCCTCGCATTAGCAGTGATAATAGTTCATAGTCAGTTTTTCACGATCACCACAGCAACTGTTCTTGCCACCGAATAAAATCCTGAAATACCACATACGCCGACGACCCTCTGTCTCTGTGGCCCACAGCAGTTTTCATTTCACTTTGTCTGGTTTTTAATTGTCACCACACGAGGCAGAGTGAGCGACAACCGCATGGAAAACACATGATCTCAGTAGATGTGCATCTGTCCGTACGCCACGCTGAAGCCACAAGCGAAAACAATAAATTAGGGAAGCAAATTTAAACAAAGATAAAACACACTTTTCTCCTTTTATTCTGCGGTTGTGTGTGTGATTTGTCTATCATTAAATTCCAGCTTGCGAGTCTATGCTAAGGAGAGGCCTAGAAGTACATGATGTTGGTGCAGGCCAGTGTTTGCTGTGGTGTCAAACCAGTTGACAGGCGACAGGTGAGTTCAGAGATGACGCAGGTGGAGAGGTGGAGGCCCCCTGCTGGAGTGAAGATTAATGACGGTCACCGGAAGCAACAACAAGATAGCATGCGAGTGTGAATTAGAGTCTGGCAGGTGGAAAAGGTAAACCTGTTGGGGGGGGGGGGGGGGGGGGGGGGGGGGGTGAAAATAACATCTGGGGTCGTCCAGCAGGAGATCAGGAGAACCTGCAGACCTGAGTGTAAACAGGGGTGAGTGGGTGGTGGAGTGTGACAGAGTGAGGCACGATTTGGAGACTGAGCTGTAGGTGGCAGTGTTGAATCTAATGGGTGGGGACAAATTATAGGATATGTTGGTCAAATGGGAAATAGTCAAATTCTGAATAATTAATTCAGTATTACCATCTGAACTTCCAAATTACGGATCAACGTTCATCTTGTAGTCGTTCTACTGGGCGTCCAAACAAAGAGTCTTTGTACGTTTGTTTAATCCACCAGACTCCAAGCAGCGTCCAGAAAAACGGCGGAGACAAAGACACGATACGCAGTGATGTCAGTCGTTAATCCTTGAACCTCCAAACACGAGTTCTGACAAACTCCCTCAAACATCACTTTTCCATTACAAATCAACCATTGTTTTCATATTTGACAGTAAAGCACACTGACCTGGCCCCCGGGGGGCGCTCAACCATTTCCTCACAGGGGAGAGACAACCTCTGCACCCAATTACTGCGAAGTAAAAACAAAATTACGCGTCCACGGTTTTCACCAGGAGAAAACAACAATATATTTTAGCATCTCATTATTCTGCCAAACCCTCGGCGCGAAAACAGAAACAAATCCACAGTATTATTGCGGGACTGGTTCCAATCATTCACGCTAGCTATTGAGGCAACATATAATTTAGGTGCGGTAATCCTGACTTTTGATTGTGAACGGAGAGCTGCCAGGTCTGTTCACGGTTTAAATGACTGAGTCGTCAGAACATCTGCTGAGCTCTGCTGTCTGTCACTCCACACCTACAGTAGTTGTTGGCAGACAGACACACACACACACACACACCTGTTTGCCAAAGAGGCAGCAGTTATTGGTCATTACCGCGCTCTGTGCCTCCTCTCCCCTGAATATCATTAGGTTATGGCTCAGTGCTTTAGTAAAACATCAGAAGCTGAGGGAAAAACTCTGCACTTTGACTCACGATCTTTACAAATAAAACGTCCTACGACACTGACCACCAGGTTATGAAATAAATGATATTCCTGGCAGCTGTGCTCCACCAAACAAAGGCACCAATTGTTAACCTAATTTGGATAATACAGTTAGTACACAAACCTCATGACGTTCCAGAGACACAGAACCGACTGGTGCCGACGGATGGAGGTGTTGGTTTGAATCTCTGAGCAACTTGGAAACAAAAACCTGAAGCAAAAAAAAAAAAATTAGTTTAAGAAGAATGTAGAAATAGAATCTCATGAGACGCTGTGGTGCAGATGGTGATGCTGCTGTCTTGGAGTCAACGGGTTGTGGGTTTTATTCCAGTCTTAGTAGGTTATATGCCATCCCTGGGTCAAAGGTCAAACCTGTACTCGTTTGATTCTAGTCTTAGTAGGTTATATGCCACCCCTGGGTCAAAGGTCAAACCTGTACTCTGAGGTACTTGTGTGTTTTCATCTCATACAAAAACATCAGTGAAGGACTTAACTTGTCTAACTTCTCTGAACAGGTCCTGGAAAAGTCCTGGAAAAGTCCTGGAATACGTTTCTTTTTCGTTTTGTTTTTTGATGAAAATAGTGGGATCGGTGTAGAAGTCTGGAGGTCATTACGTTCATGACCTGCAGTTGTTGAACATGAAGTAGTGGATGGTGGACTGGGACCTCGGCTGTGTGACGTTCACGTCCACGGGCTCTGGTGTGTCCCGCAGGAAATTTTGTTTAGAGTTCTGGACGTAGAACTCTCTAGAGGTGTTCAGCTGTTCCAGCCTCACCAGCCAATCATTCAGGTCCAGCCAAGAGTGTGTGTGTGTGTGTGTGTGTGTGTGTGTGTTTCCAGCCCTGCTGATAGCTTACACATGTGCGCTGTGGCTCTTCTCCAAATGCTTCTTCCAGTGTATCCTGAGTTACACCCTGTTCTCTCCCCTTGTCTCCCCCTCTGCTGCTCCCTCCTCCCCCCTTGTTTACCTCCCCTTCCTCGGAGAACGGTGTAATTAAAGTTGCATTCTGCCTCCTAAATGAGAACGACCGGATTCTGAAATAATTAAAAATAGTTGTAATTGCATTTTGAACCCGACCTATAATTATACCCCCGAAAAAAGAAAAAAAAAAAAACGCTTTTCACAGAATCAATACATAACTAACAGTAATTATTTTGTTTTGTGTTATTGATTCTTAAGGTCCACGCGGTGGCAGCCTGGTTAGTGCTCCTGCCTGATGATGAGTCAGCAGAAGACATTTATAGCGGCATCTGCTGACTCATCATAAGTCTTTTCCTCATTTTTGGAGAATCTCAGCGGCAAAGTTTGTCATGTCCTCATTTTAGCTAAAGTTAGTTTGAAGCCTTTGATTTTCAAAATAAAATACTCTTTAAAATGTTTTTTAAAAACAACTAAACTTTTTATTAATTCTGTATGGAGTGTGACCAGATGATCAACACCTCTGGACTGATATTTGACTGATATTTGAACACTTGGGTTAAAAAACAGAGTCATTTACATCAAGACGTTGTTTTTTTTTTAAACACATGCTGTCATGTTCAGGAGCAGCCAAGGTTGTTTTTTTTTTAAACCCATGCTGTCATGTTCAGGAGCAGCCAAGTCTATATTTTCTCTTTTTCTCCTTGAGGTGACACACACACACACACACACACACACACACTGAAACACTCAGGTCTGGGCGTCGCTCCATTCTTACTGCCTGTCTGTTTGTATGTGTCTGTGTTAAAACCCTCAAATATTTAGTTTTGGCTCAGCGTGGATTAACAGATCGGACTGACTCTGGTTTCCTTCTCTCCGTATTATAAATCAGTGTAATTCACTCAGTGAAGGACAAATAAAGGAAATATTGAAATGAAAAACATCTTTAGATATCGTCACTGTAAATGTCATGGGTTTACTTCCAGAAAAAAAAAAAGAAAAAAACTTGAAGAGAGACTGAAACAGTTCATTCTCACTCTCTAGCTTTAATTTGAGTTATGTCTTTGCAGTAACCTCCATTTGCGAAAACCTCCGTGTCACCTCCACGGGACACGCACCCCACTTTGGAAACCACTGCACTAAACCATAAATCAACACAGAGAAAAGTGATGGAAAATAAAAATCTGTTTCTTTAAAAGAGAAGAAATAGTTTTCTGTCCAACACGGACATTTCCTCACGTGAAGAAACATTTATTACTATTATTATTATTTAAGTACATTTTTTATTTTTACACTTTTCATTTGCACTGATTGAACTTTGGCCCATGTTAGAAGACCAGCCCTTGTTAACTGCCCTCCCCCCATGCCTCCCCCTTACAGAGAATAAAATGCCACAGATTCTTAATGGATTTTTGCTTCATGTTCAATCGTTCCTTCTACGGTGGTTCAGTGTAGTTAACCCTTCGATGCCAGCAGACTTTCTTTTTTTTTTCCCTCCACTTGTTGTCGCGCAGCTCCACACTCTATAAGGCTATAATTACCAGTGCGTACCTCGCGGTGCTGTGTTTCACGGTGGACTAATGAGCGAGACACCATCAGTAGTTTCCCGACATAAAGAGGGGCCTCGGCTGTTTCGCCCGTTGCTCTGCCTGTTAGCCGCGCTCTGTTACAGCTATAGCTTTTTAACCACAGTCATATGCTGCGCCCTCCACTGCCAATAGATTTTTTTATTTTATTTTTTTCCTTCTGCCTTCCACTAAATTCTCCTTCCTCCGTCTATTAGCAGCTGAGGTCCTGTGAAGCACTCTCCATAAAAGCAGATATTAGCCTGCTGTACAGTGAGCTAATTAGGCCGCGGGATTTACACGGTGAAAAATGTTTTCAGTGAATATTCCTGGCACGGTTCTCCACCCAGAAACACTTCCACATGATTTTTAACTTCACATTCCACATGTCAAAACTTTAATATTTAAACTTCTCGCTGCAGGAGCCATGGTCGGTTTCACGTGTAAATCTTAAAAGTTTGCCTTTAATTTCCTTCTCCTGACTGTGGTTAAATACTGAATTATAAAGGATTTAATTTGTCTGTATTTTTGTTTTATTTTTGTTGTTGGTGTTTAATAGATTTCCTGTAGGAGTTGATACATTGACCTTAAATGTCAGTGGAAGTCACTGCTACATTTTTATACCCAGTGGGCCTCGCTGTGGACCACGCCCCAACCGTTTAGCAGTCACTCACAGTCATCAATGTAAATGGAACACCCAGACACAGTCCCCTACATATATAAGTGTGTGTGTGTGTGTCATTCCCATATATGGCTCTTACTCGTTAGTGACCAATCATCTGTTTCAGAGCTAATTGAATAATGAAGGGTTAGAACTGAGTTAAATAGAGTTCACGTAGAAATGTTGAATTAGAGAAGACACAGAGAGAGAGACGTGACACGGGAGCTGCATGTGGTCACTGATTACAGTTATTATTTACCTTATTAGGTAAACGACAGAGAGAGGGTTATGCCCCCCCCCCCTTCCCTCCCTCCTTCATATAGGGGGGTAATTACAACAGTGAAGGGCACCAAATTAAGATTGCCTGATGCAGATGAGGGCAACTTATCTAATGGTTTCACACACACAGTTTGTGTGTGTGTGTGTGTGTGAGAGAGAGAGGGAGGTAGAGCGAGCAGCAGTGAACATTATGACAGTCCCCATACTACAGTCCTGTTTAACAGACAGTGTAAACAATTTAATAAAGTTATGCACATTATGCTAATAGATGCAGCTAGCCTGGGCAATAAACACAGGGCTATTAGCAGAGGCTAAAAGTTCATGCTTACACACACACACACACACACATACACACACACACACACACACAGAGATCACCCAAAAGCTTATGGAAGCACTTAAAGCAACCAAACAGGCGGTAAATCAACAGCTGCGGTCTGCTGCCTCCACTGGCGGCTGGTGGTTACACACAGAGAGCAATAACAGCAGATCAAGTGTGAGCGCAGAGACGAGGCTGAAGGGTTGAGAGAGAGAGAGCGAGCACCGCGGTGATGTGAGAGACGGCTGGAAATCAAAACACAGATGACGGAGAACCACAAGAAAACTGTGGTTTCTGTAAAAAAAAACAAAAAAAAACAAAACATCACAGATAAAGTTTCAATTCTACTGTAAAATGTGTGTTTTATAAATGTGCAGTTTGGAGTTAGGATTAGAATACATGCAGATTAGAGGTAGGATAGGGATTAGGATTATGCATACCTGTATAGTTTTTGAAAGTTAAGGTCAGGGGCTAATCTAGGGTCTGTTAAAGTTCAGTGTTGAGTTGGGATTTGGATAACGGTTGGATAACGGTTGGATAACGGTTGGATAACGATCACAACCACGGCTTCAAAACTCAAGGAGCTAAATTTTAAAACACAAAATAGGATCAAATAAAAAAATTAGAAAATTCTCTCCTCTGTGAAAAAAACAAAAACCATCAAATTCACCTGCTGCTTCCCAGTAACTCTGCGCCCCACAGCTTGGGAACCAATGGATTAGGGAGTGCATTCTTTCTATGTTTCTAAGTCCTCACAACACATGAAAACCTGACTGTGTGTTTGTGTGTGTGTGTGTGCGTAAGAGGTTTTTGTGTTGGTGCTGACGTGGTTGCTGTTGATTTACAGTGACCCTGTGGGGGTTGGAGGAGGGGAGGAGGCAGAAAGCTGGAGGGGAGTCACAGAAACCATCAAGTGGGTGAAGTAAGTTTGGAGAAGGATTTGGTGAAAGGTCTGTGGTGTCGGCTCTGAGCCGGTTCAGCCAATCATCTGCTCCCCTTTCATCATTAAACAAACTGGCTGCCTTATGTGCTTTGACCAGTATGTGTGTGTGCAGTTGAAACATTCCGGGTGGATCAGGAATTCTGACTAAAAGTAGAAAAATAATCGGCTTATTAAAACCAAGGAGGCTTTCCGGGTTCAAATATGTCACTGCTAACGCTAGCACGACGGCACAGTGTGAGTGTGTCCGACTGTGTCTGACTCATCCGTCACACACTGGTCACACACTGGTCACACACTGGTAAGAACCAAGGTCAGTCTGTGTGTGTGTGTGTGTGTGTGTCACGGTCCAAATCACGAAAACAAAATTCACCTCAATATTCAGTCCTGGAAATTACACTTTGAAATCTGTCATTTTGGCATGTTCAAAGTGTGGCCTGTGGGCCTCATGTGGCCCGGACCAAAGCTTAAAGTGGCCCAGAGAGAATCAGCCCCCCCCACCCCCCCGGCCTAGCACCATATAATCCACAAATGTTAGCATTTCACTTTATGCTGATAACTGTCTGATGAATCATTTATATTTCATTCAAACAAATGTTTGACATAAATTATCTTTAAATCTTTCTTTGTTTTTTTTCCTTTTTGACAGAAACTACGACTGTACCTGACACGGCGACCCCCACTCTGCCCCGTGTGGAGCTGACGAGTGCTGCAATGAGACCCGGTAAAAGAAACGCACACACAAACACACACTCGTGCAGGCAATTACACAGTTCCAGGAAGTTGTATACAGTATGTGTGGTATGTGTAGGTACTACATCTCTGACTGCAGTTTTCCCCCCGGGGGAGTGTATTTACTCCCTGTGTCTTGTCTACACACACACACACACAATCTGGAGGTCAAAGTCATGATGTCATCTCGTCACCGCAGAGACTCAGAGGCCGAAGTCACGAGTCCCACAGGAATCTGTGTTTGAGTGAAAATGAACTCACAGTCGGAGGCAGCGGTCGTCGCTCACACACACATACACGTTTACACACACACTGGGAACGACATGTCGACTGTTCCTCCCACTACAGTCAGACCAGCAGCCTTACATCCTGGGGAGTTAATACGGCACTTTCTTTTTTTTTTTTCTCACCAATTCTCAGTCCAATATTCCTGGTGTTGGTTCATGTTCTTGTTCTTTTCTTTCTTCTCTAGTGATTCCAAATGTAGATCCCTCTGTTCCAGAGTTAGGAACTCATGTTCAGGTGGAACAGAGTCTGAGACCTGGATCACACTGGGACTACAGTTAAAAAAAAAAATCTCAATATATCGTCATGCCTATAGTATCGAAAATCTGAATATATCGTCGTGCCTATAGTATCGCAATAAATCGCAATACATCGTATCGTTGCCGCTGTATCGTGATGCGTATCGTATCATCAGATTGTTGCCGATACACACCCCTGTTCTAATATTTAAATCAATCTGTGTCAAAGGTTTTTGCAAATCTCGACCACCATATAAAGTACGTGTTCTAATATTTAAATCAATGTGTCAAAGGTTTTTGCAAATCTCGACCGAAACATGAAAAATTCGAGTTGACTTTTAACGACCGCTGCCCGGATAATCTGGGGATTAACCCACTAATCCAGCAGTAACTGGTTCTATCAGGTGCTTTTTTTTCCCAAAACATCCAGGTTTACAGTACATTACATGTGGTCCACGTGGTTTTTGTATTTCCTTAAAGAGACACATTTTCTTCTTCCTTCCAGAACTGAAAATGTTTTTGTTTTTTTGTCCTTTGACTTCTGTCGTTTTGCTGCTTCTTATTTCTCATGTTTTGGTTTTTATCCCCCCCGTTTCTCTGCCTCACCCATTCTCCCTCCATATCATTGCTCTTTTACTTTAATATTTGTATTCAGGGTGATTTATCGAGGTGTCATCTTTTCATCAGCACTTTAGTCCAAGCGTCTAAACACAAATGGAACTCTTTCATGAAGCTGTGTGAAAATGAAGCGGAGTCTGTGTCGTCTCCAAACCTGGAGCGAAAAAAAAGAGCGGGCTGAAATTACAAGTTGTCAAAAATATTTTTTATTAAAGTGCTGATTTGAACAGATTACCTCGAGCCGTTTCTATAAATCAACATCTCTGACAGGTGTGTATTCACCAGCGACGTCTGTCTCTGATCCCACAGCCACCACGCCGTCTCTGTCGGCCGTGTGCGACTTCGAGCAGAGTTTGTGCGGCTGGTCGGCCGACCCTCAGTCAGGGGTCAGCTGGTCTCTCCACGCCGCCGGCAGCAGCAGCAGCTCGCCTGGACACGGCCACGGACATGACACCAGACAGGACCTGACCCTGGGAGCCGACAGTGAGTGCTGCTTATTGATCAGACACGTATTTGTCGTATTACTGCAGGTTTCATGTGTTCTTCCATCTTCCATCCTCCATTTTTATCCGCTTATCTGTTACCGGGTCACGGGGGCAGCAGTCGCCACCCACATCACATTGCACCGTACCAACCCCCCCCCAAACCTTCCTGTGGGTGGTGAGTCCACTGGAAGGTACCAACCGCCCTGACCGGGATTTGAACTTGTCCAGGAGGTGAACCCTGGGGTTCCACACCAATGACAGAGACACTTAGTACTTTATGTTTTATTTTACAATGAAAGACACGGTGTTGATTTTCACAGCTAGTTAGTAGGTGGTTAGTTAATTAGTTAATAGTTTAGTCCTAGTCTGATGATTGAGTTCCCACTTTGGTCTGTGGAACTGTTGATGTTCGAGTCCAACAGTTCCTCACATCAGTTCCTGGAGACGCTCATTCACTCAGTGACCAGATTATTCCCACTCCCAATTATAGTGATTGGATCTCCGTTAAGGGAAGTCCCGCCTTCTAGGCAACACCCTGGCTCTGATTGGTTCTCGTTGTTTCTGTGACAAAATCCCTGTTAATTAGATTTTTTTTCTTCTTGCTTTTATGAAGGAACTAAAACATGATATTTTCCAGTTTAGTGCTGGTTTATGTTTTTATCTTAGATGAAATTAATTCTGGAAAAGAAAGATTTCAAATGTTCAGCGTCCTCGTGTCCGTCAGATCTTATCAACATATATTTTATTGCAGTTCTGTGTCCCTGTATGCAGTTTTATTATGATTTCCCCTCTCCTCATCAATCTTCCAGAATCTTCTTCCTCTTCCTCCTCACCTGTGTCTCAGTTCCTTCAGTTCAACTTGACTTTTCTTTTTTTTTATCTCTTCGTCTTTTATGGAGCAGCAGAACTGTTTTCTCTATTAGACCTTCTGCTTTACTACACACACACACACACACACATACCTGTACATAGTGTACTGTACGTACCCTTAGAGCGCTCACACACACACATACACACACATACACACACACAGACCGGAGCAGTCATGTATATCGGATTATGGCTTTGACAGAAGTGCTGTCTTAGCTCTTAAACTCTCCCTCAGGCACCACCTCACCCCCACACCCCCCCCCCCCCCCCCCACACACCCCACCACCAACTGTCAACCAAGGTTTACTCAGCTTCTCCTGACGTCTCCTACTTTATGGTTGACAGAGCAGCGCCTTCATGACTGCTCTGTGTGTGTGTGTGTGTGTGTGTGTGTGTGTGTGTGTGTGTTCAGGGCAGATAGAGGGGGTAATTGACTTAGCAGCACCCCCCGTCTCACTGTTAGACAGCAACATGACACTCAGTCCTGTTGTACAGCTGCATCAGTGCGTCTGCAGGTGTGAGTCCTCGCTCCTGATCACAGTCAACTGCTTCTTCATCTCCTCCTCCTGACTCTTCCTCACTGTCGTCTCACTGTCTTCCTCACTGTCGGCTCACTGTTGTCCCACTGTCGTCCTCACTGTCTTCCTCACTGTCGTCTCACTGTCTTCCTCACTGTCGTCTCACTGTCTTCCTCACTGTCGGCTCACTGTTGTCCCACTGTCGTCCTCACTGTCTTCCTCACTGTCGGCTCACTGTTGTCCCACTGTCGTCCTCACTGTCTTCCTCACTGTCGTCCCACTGTCGTCTCAATGTCGTCCCACTGTCGTCCCACTGCCGTCCCACTGTCGTCCCACTGTCTTCCTCACTGTCGTCTCACTGTTGTCCCACTGTCGTCCTCACTGTCTTCCTCACTGTCGTCCCACTGTCGTCCCACTCACTTCACTACTGTCTACTCTATACAGTAGAGACAGTGCAGCAAAAGGAGTATTTCACAATTTAATTTTCCTGAAATGAAACTGTGTGAAACTGAACGCCCAAATCACCGTCGACGTTCATGAATAAATAAAGTAAAAGTAAAAGTAAAAGTAAAGTGAATTTTTTATTACTGCACGTATGTCAACAGTAAATCGTCTGCTGTCTTTGATGAAACGGCATCAGTTTGATCGTTTTGTCTGAAGGACATTTTTATCCTCAGTGTTGAACAGATTTCATTAAAAGGTTTTTTTTTTTATTTTTTATTTCTTCATCAGAGGAACATTTCTCTCCTTGTTCAACTCTTCTTCCACTTATTGATGAAATCCCAACATTCACTCATCAAAGAGTCAGACCTGCAGTTTCCTTTGAAACCAACCTTTATAGTGTGTAGTGTGAACGACAAAAAAAAAAAAAAGAAAAAACATACTTACAAGAAAACATACTTTACATATCGAGGCAAATACAAACAAACTGCTGAACAAGACACACACACACACACACACACATACAACTGGTGATTGACAGATCAGTTCAGAGAAAAACATAAAAGAAAATTGTCTTCCAGAAAGTGATAAAAACAGACTCTCTCTCTCTCTCTCTCACACACACACACACACACTGCCCCCCCCCTCCTCGGAGAGTTGTTAGCTAATTCCCTGCCTTTGTACATTCATGGAGATCAAACACACAGAGTCAGAAAAACATCACAACTTCCTCTAACTGTAGTTAATGAGCAGCGCTGCTAATGAACATCCTCATCTTCAGTGGAGAAACAGTGGAACCTCAACCCAGGTCCATTATTATTCAATCATTATTCTTTGTTTTCCTCCGCTTTAGAGCTTTGGAAAAAATAAAAGAAAGATGTGAATAAACCAGGTGGACGCAGAGAACGAGGGTTTATGTAACGATTTTATGGTACGAGAAAATTACAGACACTGACGCTCAAAACAAAGATGTAAACAAAGATTAAATATTTTTACTGATGTACAGTGATCCCTTGCTATAACGCGGTTTACTTTTCACGGTTTCGCTACTTCACGGATTTGCATCGTGCATTGTGTTCTGCATTCTGATTGGCTAAAAAGTCACTCCGCTTCTTCTCTACCTGTGCGCCAATAACGTTGCGGTTTAATATGTACACGTACGTAAAACAGCTTGCCAAATTGACATTACGTACGTGCAAATTCTCTTGCAATTTCGAGTTTATCAAACCCCATAATGTCGACAAAACGCTCTGGACCGGCAAAAGTACCTGCGGTAGGGACCAAAAGGCAGCGGAAGATGCTGTCTATCGGTGATAAAGTAAAACTATTGGACATGCTAAATGAAGGTAAAAGCTATGCGGCTGTAGGTCGGCATTATGGAATTAATGAATCTTCCGTTCGTTCCATAAAGAAGGAAGAAAAAAACATAAGGAAGACAGCAGCAATAAGTTTTAATAAGGATTCAAAAAGGGTTGCAACTGCCCGCAACAAGACCAGGTAATTTGTATTTTTTTCATAATCATTTTTAATTTTCTCCCGTTCACGGTGGGCGGTGCTAATCTCCGCAATTTGAAGCCTTCTGTTCACGTTGATGATTAAAATTATTATTTGACAGTACATTACAGAAGTTATTTGTTGAAACGTTTCTAAAGTACTTTTATTTTACTTTATTTGTGAAACAAATGGTTGAGACTGTAAAATGGTTTGTTCGTTCTTTCTCTTCTTTTTCTGAGTATTTAATTGTAAAAAAAATAAAGATTTCTACTTCACGGATTTTGCCTATCACGGGTTCTTTTTGGAACGTAACCCCCGCGAAAAACAAGGGTTTACTGTATTCAATTGTTAAACCTGTTGCTGTGAACACAGACACCAGCGCTAACGTTAGCTACAACAGTCCGGGTACAGACACCAGAGCTAACGTTACCTACAACATTCCTGGTACAGACACCAGAGCTAACGTTGGCTACAACAGTCCTGGTACAGACACCAGAGCTAACGTTACCTACAACATTCCTGGTACAGACACCAGAGCTAACGTTGGCTACAACAGTCCTGGTACAGACACCAAAGCTAACGTTAGCTACAACAGTCCTGATACAGACACCAGAGCTAACGTTAGCTACAACGCTCTTAGCCTAGTGCCCTAAGGGGGGCAGTGTACTGCCTCACTTATGTGAGTTTTGTTCATCTTGTCCAACAGTATAGTCTGTAGTAAACGTGCTGTTATTTTTCCAAGATTCCTCGTCTCATTTCACTCCGCCTCCATTACGGCTCTCTTCAGTATGGAAGAGACATTTAGAAAATATTTTAAGTTAAGTATTGTATATGTTCCCTCTCTTCACCTCCCCCTTCTCCCCCTCCTCCCCCTCTCCATTTGTGAGGTGTCACCCTCTGTCGATAAAAAGACTATTTGTGCCTCCAGTGAAGCTTTTACTCTGTGGCCATCACAGACAAACTAGACAAACAGCCGAGCACAGCAGCAGGCTAATGATTATAGTCTCGTTTGGGGGGAGGGGGAGAGGGGAGGGATTGCTGTTGTAGTAAACATTAAAGTGCTGCCCTTCTTTCTGTCTTTGTTTAACTCATTATTTGTGGGACGGCAGTGCAGTGCAGTGCAGTAACAGTTGGAGTTGAAGGTGCACACACAGTACAGTAGGTGTTTATTTGTATCCATAGCATTAGCCACGCTAATGAAACGACAGTGTTTTCAGTGGCTGAGCCTCGACAGGGTGATGAGAGTAAAGTACTATAAATCTGTCTGTAAAAACTCTTCACTAACTGTTGCATTTCTACTGTGAGAAGAACTCGACGTTCTGGTTTCTGCAACAGCAAAATGACCAGCAAAATTACAAAATTTAATTTTTTTATTTTGTGAGTATGGATTGGAATTGTTAAAAAAATCTACTGATTCCAATTCCATTATGGAAATCACTGTCACAAACATTGTAAATTAATTGCAGGGCACACGGCTCCATTTTTCAGTCTTTTTCAGCTCCTGTTTTGTTGTCAGAGTTTTTAATTTGTTTAGTTTGTCCGACCAAATTAGGAAGCTAGCATGTGATGTCATCATTCGGTTGAATCGTTAACTAAGCAGGAATCAGACAACAAGGCCCCTCATCCCTCTGTATGAGTTCTAATTACGTCAGTGATTTTGTAAACTAACAAAATAAAACATCTGTGATTTTGCTTCAGATTTCTCAGGAAACTATCTCCACCTGGACGCGGGCGCGCACACCCAGCGAAAGCGAGCCCGGCTCCTGAGCCCCGAGGTGTGGCCTGAACGAGGTCCACTCTGCCTCCTTTTTAACTACCAGCTCCAGGGAGAGGCCCAGGGCAGCCTGAGGGTCCTGCTGAGGGACAACGACCAGGAGGAGACGTTACTGTGGGCCCTCAAAGGGGACCAGGGTCTCCACTGGAGGGAGGGACGCAGCATTCTGCCCCAGAGCCCCAGAGAGTATCAGGTCTGACTGTCAGACTGTCACCGTGAAGTCACAGCGTTTGTGGGTGTAAACGTTCAGACGCTGACGGAGTTTTTTTTCTGTGTGGTTCAGGTGGTGTTCGAAGGTTTCTTTGATTTCCCGACCAGAGGCCACATCAGAATAGACAACATTCAAATGAGCAACAGCGTGGAGTTGGAGCAGTGCACACGTAAGTTCAGTTCACCACCTGACACTTTATTTTATATACATACATATAAATATATATATATAAATATTTATATATGTGTTTATATATGCACACATATATATATATATATAAATATTTATATATGTGTTTATATATGCACACATATATATATATATATATATACAAATATATAAATATTTATATATATATATATACAAATATATATATATATATATATACACATATATATATATATATAAATATATATGTATAATTCTACATATATATTGGTCATAGCTTAGCTCATACTTTTAGGGTAAAATTCACTTTCTCTACAGGACTAAAATAAAAACACAACTTCAGGCTTCAGTTACAGTAAAGGTAGTACAGGACTTCAGGCTTCAGTTACAGTAAAGGTAATATTAGGTGGACTGGCCCTTTAATATTCAGACCACAGACAGCCGTGGGCATGTTTCCTCTTCAGCTGTTTTTCATACACCGACCGCTCCACCCAGAGATTCCAGGACTCTCTCTCTCATATCTTCATCTTGTTTTCAGTCTTAGCGGTCAGAAGGTCAAGCAGGACCCTCAGTTTGAGAACCCTGAGAAGCTTTAACAGGGTTTAAATGGTAGAAGATAAACGTGTAACGCGTACTTTGTCGTGTGTACTTTGTATCACACAGATCTACTATCACTGAGCTTGTAATATTGACATTGTCTAAAGTACTCAGAAGTATCACGGCTCTACATCATATACATGTTTTCATAGTACTTTTCTGTACTTTCCTCTCTTCCAGAGCCGTACCCGGCCCTCACTCCTGGAGTCAACAGTAAGTCCCACTTCCTGTTCTTATACCTTGGCTTCCTGCTTGTCGCTCAGCCCAGCTCCCAGCACTGCACTGGCCCTGAACCCTGACAGTTCCTCATCTGGGAACCTAAATATTTCACACTCCAGATTAGCTGTTCAGTACTTCGTTTGTACATGCAGTAGTACACACTGTCACTTGTCCTGTACTCAGGTTATTTGAATAATAACCCTGGTATTTTGGTGGGAAACGTCACCACACGTGACTTGGAATGAGTCTCTTGCGTTGATGCAGCATGACTCCCTGCATGTCAGGCTTGGTCGTGTAGTTTGATCATGTGTGCACTTTAACCAATGAGAGAAGAGCTACAGGCTTTGTCTTTGTACGTCCAGCTACACACAACATGTAACAGCTGGCAAACACTAGAGGGAGCCGGGGAGTGTTAGTGGTATTCACCCTGCTGTTGAAAGAAGTCATCAGGAAGTATTAGTAATTACGCCGATATCAGCCAATAATATCGGTTGGTTGATAGATATGGGACATCCCTACTACTGGACCACATGGTCCAATTAGGACCTCAGTAAATCATGTGACGTCCTCAGTGACTCGTGTTTGGAAAATGAAACTGTGAGGAACATTAATAAGTAAGAACTCTCCAGTTCAAAGTCATATTTTTATAACTTCCCTTCTCTGTGTCTGATCGTCAGACGCTTCACTCCGACCGCTCCACGTTAGTATCGAGCAACTTTGACGAAACTTTCTTACTGCGTCTTTACCTTTTCTACCTTCTTTCCTTTTCAAAGTTTTTTGTACAATGTTTTTCCTCTGTATCTCAGTGTGTGTTTCTTCTAACAGTGCAGTACAACTTTCTATGATTTGTAGTATTTTTTTATGGAAATGACTCCTGGTTTAAGCAACAGTGACAGCTGGTGGTTCTTCTAATATTGCATCAGAAGTACTTTGAAGTGTGTCCAGTGGTTGTCCTGTAGGTCCTGGACTGTAGACGGTGAGGTTCGATTCCTGTCATGAACCACAGCGTTGTTTTTTCTTCAACGCTCCAGACTTTAATAAGAGAAAGATAAAGTTACGGCACAACTATCTTACATTTCCTCAGGGTTTGTTTTTTTTCTGCTCAGTTTGACTTGAAGTATTTGAGTTTTTGGCCTAATCTTTGTTGGCTTTGTAAGAATGTTGGATCCTGGGCGGCTGTTTCTCAGCGTGGCGGACGTTTTATACATTGTTTCCATGAGAAACAAAGAAAAGTGATTGAATTGTTTCATTGATGCCAGGACGGATCAAGTTTCTGTTCTTTTTGGACCGCGATGTAAATGACTTCGTTACTTGGACTGAATTCTTACCATGTGAAGTATCAAACCTCCGGAGTTTGTTGTTGACGTTGACTTGGTCATGATGTCTCCAGAAAAGCAGGAAGTAGAAATGACTGAAGAATTTTTCAACATGTTGAGGATTTTTGTCTAAAGATTCAATATTTGGCTCAAAGGCAGTTTCACTTTCAGTTTCACTCACAACAGTTTACAGTGTGTGAACTGAGTGGGAACTCTTCTTCAGTGGTGTTTCCACCAGTGTATTTCTTCTCTGTATAACCCTGGAGGGTGACCTTTGACACCGGGCCACAACCTGACTCTTTGACCCACGGACTGAAATCCAGGTTCTTTTCAAACTATGTTTCAGTTTTGGAAAAGAAAAAGTCAATATCTTTATCTTTCCATCTTAGTGTGGTTAAAAATGTAGTGTTTGCTCTGATTTCAGAATATAATGTTAAAATGGTTAAAACTGGTTACAGTTTTGCCCCCGACATCATCACTGAAGCTCCAGTGATGATCAGTGGACGTGGTTTGAATTTGTCTTCGTTTGGCGACAGAGTTGAAACTTGAAATTCTGACTTTGTGCATTTACATTTAGGGTGTGTGAGGTCAAATATCACATCTGACCTCTGACCTTTCCCCAACTACCCCACCAGGGGGCTTTTTATCCAAAAGAAAACACCTGAATCCACAGCTCTGTGGAGTTCAGCTTTTCAATTCCAGCTCAGTTTAAATCCTAACGGACGGCGTCTGAAGTGAAAAGACTGAATTAAAGCCTCCGCGTTTTTTCTGTTTCTCTTCGGTGAACGTCGGCTTTGACCGACCTGTAATTATTTCTCTTCTCTTTGACTTCCTTCACGTCTCATTTCTCTTCACCCATTTTCTCCCTCACCTTCTCCTCCCCCGTCTCTTTCTCCCTCCACGGCCCGACCCGTCTCTCAGTCGGTTCTTTTCCCAGTGAGTTGACAGAGAATTGGACTTTCAGAAAACCCTTTAATGCAGGATTAAAGATATCATGGTGGGATTAGCTCTCTGCTCAGCCCCCCCCCCACTCTCCTCCTCTCCACTAACCCCATTTCCCTTCTCACTTCCTGCCCCTTCTCTCTGCCACCACTCCTCTTATCCTTTTTATACCCCTCTCATTTATTACCCTGGTAAATCTGTGTTCTGCTGC